TAACCATTACAGACGATATCCACGTCGTAGGGGTCCTCCACGCAACTATCAGCAGAACTACCAGAACAGTGAGAGTGGGGAAAAGAACGAAGGAGCAGAGAACATACCAGAAGGTCAAGCCCAGCAACGCCGTCCCTATCGCAGGCGGCGGTACCCACCTTACTATATGCGTAGGCCCTACGGGCGTCGTCCACAATATACCAACCCTCCCGTACAGGGAGAGATAGTGGAGGTAACATTTGCCTGACATATGATGCTAAATGGGCTTGGTTGCTTTGGAACAGGGTGATGGGATGCACCTTTTGACACTCGTTGTAGGTACTCCAGATGATTTTGGTAAGGTTTGGCAGTAGCGTGAAATTAAGTAGCTGAAGGTCTTCATGTTACAGCTTCTAAAAACCAGAGTCTTTCAATTTGTATGATTAAGTGGAGGATTCTCCATCATGTGCACACCTGTTACCTAGAACTGCTGTCCACCTTGACTGAACTGATGACCTTCCAGCTCCTTTCTCACAGCGTGACGAGCTTTGGAGTTAGCACATTTCTGGTTGGGGCTGAGACAGTCTGTGGCCTGATGTCTTGCAGGGTGCTGACAACCAGGGTGCAGGAGATGGCAGACCGGTCAGGCAAAACATGTACCGGGGTTACAGACCAAGATTTCGCAGGTATGCTACAGATCAGCTGCTGGTTTTAGCCTTGTTCAGCAACAGAACCAGGACATGGTGATGCTCAGGTGCTGCATAGTTAAAGCCTAGCTTGACTTTCAGGGGTCCTCCTCGTCAAAGACAGCCTAGAGAGGATGGAAATGAAGAAGATAAAGAGAACCAAGGGGATGAAACCCAAAGTCAGCAGCCACCTCAACGTCGGTATCGCCGTAATTTCAACTACCGACGCAGACGCCCAGAGAACCCTAAACCACAAGATGGCAAAGAGACGAAGACAGCCGAACCACCAGCTGAGAACACGTCCGCTCCCGAGGCTGAGCAGGGCGGGGCTGAGTAAATACCGGCTTAACATCTCTACCATCATCCGGGTGCGTGACCAGGGACCTGGGGATGCTCTTTGCTGGCTTTCGTTGCTTTTCGTTTGTGCCTTAGTGTGTTTGGACTCTTCTTGCTCACACATGCTGTAACTGATCTGCAAGTGTCTCTGCAGAACTGAACTGCAAGGCTTTGTTCCATCAATGCTGACTAATTGGGAGGACTTAGTTACAAGCTTTAGTTGTCATTGATGTAATACTGTTGCACTTAAAATTTTGGCTGTGTGCAGTAGTTCAGGTATACAGCAGTCTCTGCTCATGCAGAAATTAAAGCAGTGCAAGTGTAAAGACTTGAAAATAGTCAGAAGAACATGCTGAGATTTACCTAGCTCCATCAGTGCCTAAGCTGAGTCCCTGCAGGGAGGTGGAAAACATTGAGACTTTGGCATAGATTTCTACAGAGGTGATGTAGAATTAGCAGGAGTGTCTCAGGAGCAGCTTTTTGTCTAATCAAAGCACTGGAAAAACTGGTAGAAATGGTTGTTTCGTCATAGCATGTGGAAGCTGTGTCTCAGTGCCGAGATGTGGACTTGGGAGGGTTGTGTGCAGGGCAGAGGCCGAAGACTGGGTTAGTTGCAAGGGAACCTGTCTGTGGCTGGGCCTTGTTTCGTGCTGACTCCTGAGAGACGGTTCTGCTCATTTGGAATATTTTCATTGCCAGGACTCTACTTGTTCTGCATTTCTTGTCATCATGTGTGTATCCTGTTCCTTTTGTTCCTCACTCCTTGCGTATTGTAAAGCAGGAACGTAGAAGAAGCATTTAGGCTGTAGTGGGAGCAGTCTGAGTGGTCACATTGATGGGAGGGACAGGGGCTGGAGGACTTGGGCTGGGAGAAGGCTTAATGTTGGCAGCAGCTGCAGCCTCTCCCAGCTGTGGGAGCTTGGGGACTTGATCTGCATGGGCTCTACCCCTTCATGTTCCACTTGCAGATGAATCATTCACTCACTGTCCAGGCTGTGCTACAGTGATCTCTGTACTTTTGGTGAACATTTGTATCCTGGTATTCATCTTTGTGGTCAACACTTGGATGAATTAGAACATGGGCTTCAGAAAGATATCACAGTGGCACCTTGGCTCCTCTTGCTCTCTGGTAGCATTGGAGAATACTGGGTTTAGTTTCTGTGCTTTGAGCAATGGCTGAATGTTGGCAGAGCCTGGTGGGAGCAGCCTTCCCTATGACTGGAGGGATCTCTTTGGGTTTAAGTTAACTGTCTCTTTGGAGTCCTTGGCATTGTTCCTGTGCAGAGGTGACTGGTGTGGTTGTGGGGGTGGAGTGAGGCTGACAAAGAGAAGTAGCTGGTGGGGGTTGGGCTGTGAGCTTGTGACAGGATGAATTTTTGAGTTGCAGGTGAGCCTTGGTACACAAAGTACCCCGGTAACCCTTTGATCAGCCTTTTTTTTTCCCCTCTTTTTCAGTTTAGTCATCAAAGAAAAGACTTCAAGAAATGAAGAAGAAAATGAAATTCCAGCAATAAGAAATGAACAAATGAATTGGAACTGAAGACCTTAAGTGCTTGCTTTTTGCTGTTGACCAGATTACTAGAACTATCTGCATTATCTATGCAGCATGGGGTTTTTATTATTTTTACCTAAAGAATTCTCTTTTTGGAAATGATAAACGCGTTTTTTAAAAGCCTGTTTTTTCTCAATATACCTTTAAAAAGTTTGTAAATTGTTTCATATCTGGTCATGTTGAGATTTTTAAGAACCTCATTTTTAATTTGTATGAAATATACGCCTGATTTTTTCAAGTCAAACTGCAAGCATCTGTTAATAAAGGTCTTAAAGAGTTACCATGTGTCCTTAGGTGTTTTAAAGGTTTTAAGTTAAATGGTTTTAACTATTCATAGAAGGTTTGGGGGGCAAAAATGACTGCTTTACTCTTTGGGCATCCAGGCTGGTGGGTTAAAGCAGAAAAGTTGAAGTAAAAAAACAATGAAGGTGCAATTGAGTCCCATTGGAGAATGATGGGCAAGCACAGAAGGGTGGGAGTTTCTTGTGCTAGCCCAGTGTGTTTCCAGGAGCTGTTTGCTGGTACAGCTTGGCTGTGTCCTTGCTGGAATGCAGCACTTGGAGACTTGAGGTGGTGTGAGGGTGCTTAAAAAAAAAGGGGGGTGGGGAGGGATCTTCCCCCAAAAATGGTAAAATCACACATTGGTTTGGGTTGAAGGAATGAGGAGCCTTAAAGCTCACCTGATCCCATACCCTGTCAGTGGGGCAGGGACACCTTCCACTTGACCAGTTTGCTCCAATCCCTGTCCAGGTTGGCCTTGGACACTTCCAGGGATGGGACATCCATGGGTTCTCTGGGCAGCCTGTGCCAGATTCTAGATTCCAAAAAATCCCAAACTTGTCACTGGGGCTGTGCTTTAGCACAATTGCCCCATGAGTGCACTCCAGAGCCAGCTGGGTGCAGAAGCACAGAGATGGAGCTGAGCCTTATGACAAAACTGGCCTTGGCTGCACCCCACTGCCATGGTGAGAACCTGGTGTGTGGGGACTGCTCCCTTAGCATGGACCTCACAGTTGTGCCATGGTCTGACAACACCATTGGAACCACTGCAGAGCACCTGCAGGAGGGGTTGGCTGTCCAATGGCAGCTTTTGGGAACTTTGTACATACTAGTGAGCTCTGTACTCTTAGTAATTTTCCTGTGGGCTTCAGTGTCCCAATCACCCCTGGTGTCCCAACAATCCTAATGCGCCAGGCTTTGCTTTCTCCAAGCACCTGCTAATGCTCCCACCTGCCCATCCCCTGGTTGTGCCATCTGTGAGCATCCTGCCCTACAGACACTGCAGTTTGACACAATCTCGTCTTTGCTCCTTCCTGTCACTCAGTGTTTGAATTTTCTCCTTTCCAGGTCCCTGGGGTCCTGGGAAACAGGGACAGACTTGCCCTGCACATTCCTCTTGCAGAAGTGTGAGAAGCTGCAATAAACAACAGCTTTGCTGCTTTTTGGCTTCATGTGAGGGGGCAGATGGCTCAAGAGGACCCTTATAGCACCTCTAGGTTCTGGATGCAGGTGCTTTGCAGCCTGGCTGGGTTGCTGGAGTGGGACTGCAAGTCTTCACATCTATCTGTTTTGGGGACTGACTGTGCCCCTGCAGCACCATCTGCTCAGACCCGGAACTCGACCTTCCTCCTCTCAGGGTGACAGTACTAAGGACCTTCTGCTTGGTTTCCCTGTGCTGCAATGGTGTCTGTGTGCTTAGCTTGGGGTGAGAAGTAAGGGATGAGGCCAAAACCAACATTCAGTAATTGAGGGTGGTGGGGATTGCGTTGGTGGTAGTTTCAGGTTCTAGCTTGTTTTCATAATGGTTTAGAAATGCTGAAAGATAATAATTCATTTGGAAAACAGAACTCAAATTTTGTGTGAACATAAAAACTGCACTCTGCTGGCATCTCCATCAGGCTTCAGACTGACTCATCTCCTTGTGTCTGGTGTGTATGGTTTCAGTGTTCCTTCATGATCCCCCATGAAAACATGGATAACTAAGTGTTCCAGACTCCTGGTTTGTGAGCACGCACCTTGTGCTGCCCTCAGTCCCAGCCCAGGGAAGGTTTCCGGTGGGGCTGGTGTGGGAGGGCTACCAGCCACATGGAGTCAGTGCTGCTCCATGTGGAAAAGACTTCCCACTGAATTCCCCCAAAGCATGGGCTGAGCAATGTCAGAGGAGCTACTCTGCCCTCAGTGTCCTGACAGCTTTCCCAGGGAACAGGGGTATCTTTCCTTAAAGCAATACCTTTCTGGGATTTATTTTCATGAAACTGGGCTGGAAGTAGGGAAAAAAAAAACCTTCCCTGGCTGACTGCTGCAGTACCTTTGCGTTTAGCAGTCAGCTGGCTGCATCAGAGCCTGGAAGCAGCCGCAGAAATGTCTCAGTACAGGTGCTTTAATGGGTTTGGATAGGCAAAGGAGTATCCCATATCAGGGCTGGGTGCAGGAGGTGCTGCTGGCCATCACACACAGGAATCCATGGCGTACATCTTGCTGATGGCTGTCCGGGTGGCTGTTTGGCCCCAGGGCTGGGGATGCCTCTGGGGCTGACAGCAGCTGCTGGCGGCTACCAGGAAAGAGTTGGAGTTGTGGTCACGGCCGGCAGTTGAAGGGTGACTTGGGACTGCCACACCATGGGGACACGGCAGGAGAAAATAACTTGGGCAGCCAGCAGGGTTAACTTCTATCCCATAGGACCAGGCATAAGGATTGGAGATGACGTCTGGGGAGGCATCACCTGCCTAATGTCACTGGCTGGGGGCCTGTATTTCAACCAGCACATCCCTGCAGCCACTGTCTCAGGCTTTGGCTGATAACAGGGATTCAAGTCCAGCACAGCCACTGCTCTGAGTAAACATTAGCACACCTCCACCAGGACCTGGAGGCCCACTGATGTGGATGGATCCCTGTACCCTCTTCATGCCCTTACAGGGTTTATGGAGCCCCTTACTCAGCCATGTTCTGCCTTGTGTAGCCTTCCCAGCCAAGGGGCACAAGCTGGGCACAGAGGGGTCCCCCTTGGTTAGGCTGGACCCAGCAAGAAGCTTCTGTGCCCTCTGAGCTGGTCCTTCACCCCTTATCCCTGCAGGTCAAAAAGCTACTTAAGATAGGTTGGGGTGGAATGAGACGGACTGACCTGTGCAGGCATAGAGACAGCAGGTCAGCAGGACAGATGCCACAAAGCATCCCGTGGAGCCAGCCATTCCCAGCCAGCATGACCACCCAAAGTCATAGTGGACTCCCAGGAATATATTGTGTGACACCAGCATGACCCTCTCCATGTAGACGTCCACTGCATACCACACGGAGCCTGTGAGCCCCAGGATGCCTAGGAGGAATGGGGCTTGTTAAAAAGAAGCATACAACACCCCATGCTCCCCAAGCCCCACTGAGGAGGTGCCTCTAGCTCCCGGCATGCTCCCCAGCTCCCTGTGGGACATGAGGTCTGTCTGCTCCAAAGCTCTCCCAGCCACGCACTCCCAGCGCAGAGTATGACTCCAGCTCCATAGCGCATCTTCAGTTTAACACAAGGATCTTCCTTGAGGAACGTGATGCAGTCAAGTCCAAGGACCAGTGTAGCCAAAGCCAGGCCAGCCAGGAGATCTGCCATGATCATCAGGGTCCGTGTCACCACAATCTTCACTGGGCAGGGAAGTTAAAACAATCAGAAACAGGAATGAGGAATTATCAGAGGAACAGGTGTCTCCACTCCAGATTTCTGCCCATGTCCTTTTTGAGTCACCCAGCTCACCAGTGGACATCACATTGGAACTCACCAATCCCCATCCCTGCCATGAGCCAAAGGAAGGTGCTCAACAAGCTTATCAGAAACCTAATAAGGACTTAAACCCATGATTAGACCAGCTCAAGAAACCAAACAACTCAAGGTATACCCATCAGCACCTGGTATGTGGTCACCTTCTCAAGCCATTCTTGAGCAGAAGATGCTGCTGTCCACACTGTTTTTTCCTCCAAGTTGTGTAGCAGGTGTTTTGAACAGCAAATATCAATATACCAGTGAAAAACTAGAGCTGGCATGGATCATATCACCAACTGTGATGGGACTATGCCCTGCAAAGCTTCCTTCTCCACAGAGCAAATAGGCAGCCCCCGTTTGTCCACACCAACTACTTTCCTTCCCCATTGCCTGAATCTGTGTTGTTCCATGTCATGACCCAACAGAAAAGTTCTCCCTGCAGGGCCTGATGTGCCCTGTGCAGGCCAGAAGAAGTGTCCCTACCCTGATGTGACTCTTCCTGACCTGTGGGCATGAGTCCTTGGCCAGTGGGAATGGTCCTTGCTCTGCCTGCAGCATAGTGGGTAGCAAATCCTAGGCTCTACATGCTGGAACATGTTTGTCGTGAGGTGGCACAACTTCATAGCCTCTATTCTGCCTGATGACCCCATGGCAGGTCTGGCTGCCAAGTTGTTGCCAAGACCAGGCCATTCGGGCAGGAGAACAAGAGCAGCCCTGGGTTGGGTGTGGCTGACTGACAAAGGGCAGCTTGATGCAATGACAATCACCTTCCCTCTTCCCTTTCAAGAAGACTCTGAGCTGTGAACTTAATAAATGCCTCCAGGCCAGGTCAGCTCACCTGGGTGGTCAGCCAGAATTGAGTCATATTGGTCGCAGGTCCTGACCCCATCCTGCATGTTGGTGACACACTCTCTCCAAAGGCCCCGGCATTTGTGACTTACCTGGAAGCAGGAGAAAAACACTCATGGAAAAAGCACCAGGGTTTTCCCAGCTTCCCATGGATCTCCCAGCTCAGCAGGGCAGATTTCAAGTTCCCACCACTACACCCGGACATGTCCTGGTGACTCTCTGCCCATACCTGCTCTCTGTTTTCTCCTGCTCCATCCCTCTATAATTTTCTAATCCTTCAACACAAAAAGCAGTGGGTTTGTCCCACCATGTCCCTTTTCCAAGCCAGTGGAGACATGGTGCAACGTCATGGATGGCAGGGCACCCACCTTGCTCTCAGCTGCTCACATTGAGGATGATGGTTGCTCTGTGCACCTTGAAGGTGGCTACTCTGCTCACCTTCCAGGTGATTTCTCTGCTCACCTCCAAGCTGTCATCAGCATTGACCATCCAGCAGTCCGTGCACGTGGCCAGGAGTAGGAAGAGTGTTGAGAGAAGAGTGAGACCAAATGCTGTCACCTGCAGGGCTGCACTCATGGGGTGACCTGCAAGGGCACAGAGATGTTCACCATCTCTGCTCTGGCTACTTCCAGACACCCAGTCTTACAAGGACAAAGTGCCACCAAGGCCAGGCATCCTCTGGATACCTAGGAGTCATCTGGGTCCTGTCTCACAGTGCTCACTTGCTGCCAAAATGCTCTAATATCCTCAGCCAAGGTTAGGTCACCAGGTTTACGTTTAGAGAGAACTTTTAGACACACAGTAATTTTGTGGTGGATACATTCCCACATTGGTTCCCTCTCTTCCAAATAGTAGATGCCAACCATCAGTACTTGCACTTTGGCAATCAAGAGCTGTTGGAAACCACTATCAAATAACTGCTGCTACGAAAACCTGTGACCTAAGCATGTCTCCAGAGAACCTCTAGAGACCTCCATCCCTGCCATATGACTTGGTGGGTACATTCTCTCCCTTTTCTTGCTTTTGTTTTTCACTCCAAGAAAAGCTATGAGGTGTTGAACATCCAGGTTGGAGCACAAGCAAGTGTCCCATGGAGGTGTCCTAATCTTAAGCACAAGCCCAAAGACATATCTCCCATTCCAAAGGGGATAAAGGCTTCTTGTGGCATGATGTTGGTGCCCTGAGGAGCTGGCAAGGCTTTCCACACAGGAGAAGGGATAGCACTACTTGTTTTCCATTCTAGATGGATGTTTTCCATTCCTAGATAAAGGGACTCTGCAGAGAGGGGAGCTGTGCCCAAGGTTTGAGCAGGGGACATTGTGTCTGCAAACCCTGGGCAGGAATCCTACTTTGTCATGTTTTGCAACCCAAAATGCCAAATATTTTACTGCCTGAAGTTGTAACCACTGCAATAGCCCTTTGGACAGGGGTTCATACAAATGTGTTAATCAGCAAGACCAGATAAGTTTCTACACTACACGAGTTAATTACCATGAGATGATAACTCATCATCACCAGGTTTAATACCTCCAGCCACAGGCTGCCCACTCTGGCATAGCACAGGCTCCCTGTGGGGCAAAGGTGGGAAGAAGGGTTGTGGTCCCCATACCCAGTGTGCCCCCACATCTACCCCGACATCCCCTCTTGGGATGTTACTGGTAGTAGAGATATTACTCTCCCGTCATCTCTGAGCAGTTTTATCAGCTTCACTCCAAGTGAGCAATCTCTTAGACCCCAATTTACAATAAGTTTTTTAAAATTCCCCAGGCTCCCTTCTGAGCTAATTCCCTGGAGCCTTATTTGTTTCTGCTAGACCCCAGCTGTTTTGGAGCCTTTGAAGAAAATCCGTTCAGACACTTCAGCTATATAATCAAGGAAAAAAAAGGAAGAGAAAGAAATTCTTAATGCTGGGAAAAATCAGTTCTAAAACTTGTTGATAATAAAAGATGTTCATGGGGAGCATTACCTTTACTGCAGGCTCATCCTTGTTGCAGAGGGGTGATGACAGAAAGTCTTTGTTGCTGATGATTTGGGATAAGGGATGTAGATCTGGAAGGCTTTTAAGTGCTGATGGAGTTGGATCCTGACTCATCTAATGGAGTCAGGGATACACAGCACCAGCTGGAGCTTGTGCTGGGCTATTTAAGGTTTGTCCAAGGCAGGTCAGCTGGATTTTGTGCTCTGAGACATGATGGACATCCCTGCAGTTAGAGCAGTCATAGGCTAGGAACGGAGCCTCCCCAAAAATGTCACATAAGGAAACCATTGGAAACCTGCTGGGAACTCTCCCCAGGTGGGGGAACTATGTGTCCTGGACAAATAACCCGGTTTTTAATTAGACCTTTCAATTACTGCCTAAGAATGAGTGGCCTAAGACACTGGAATGGCCTAAGATCCAGGAGTGGTACCAGAGTTCAGAGGGTTAGAAGGGGTCAAAGAAAGGAGCTGGAATGCCAGGGTGATAATGAGCCTCTTTGGCTGGCAATTAATTCCTTTCTTTTTTTTTCCCATTAAGCAGAAAACAAGTGAAAACTACTGCAGTGGTGACGGCTCAGGTAACATGTCTGGTCAGCCCCCAAGGTGGTGCCTGTGAACCTGGGTAGCAGCACCCCAGCTGTCTGGCACTTGGAGCTGCCCTAAAAGCTTCAGGTTTGTTTTCTAATCCCCTACTGTTTGGGGATTACACAGAATCTGTGTTACAGCATCCTCTGAGCATCTGCACCTCATGGCTCTGCCACCGCTCATCCTTATCTCTCATTTCCATTTGTAGGTCATAGTTGAGGTGCACTTGGGTTTTTAGGGCAGGTTTGGTTTTTGTTGTGGTTTTTGGTTTTTGTTTTTTTGTTTTTTTTTTTTCCCTGTAGATAATCTTCTGCAGGGTTTTGCTATGGGCATTTTGGCAAAACACCAATCTTGGCAAATCCTCCAACCCTGCAGAGATGCCCAGGTATCTGATGTGAGAGATTCCTGGGGCTTTGACTTATTCTATTTTCCCAGAATTCTGGCACATGGCAAATCTAATGCTTTGGAATGTAGCAATGAATCAAGGCCAAAAATGTTCAGAAGGGTTTGTGAACCTTCATTTTCCAGCCTTTACAGTTCAAGAATTTATGGTTCTTGGACATCTGTGACACATGAAATACTGTGAGACCCAAAGTGATACAAAACTATATCTCCATGCTCTTGGCACCTATAAAATAGGTGTATTTATATTTTCTGCTCTGTCTAAACACTCAATTTATGATATATCAAACAAGTCCGCCTTGTTAATCCCCATCTGAAACTTTTTTGGGGGTAAAAAGAGGCAGGTAGAGGAGCTGAACTAGGAGTAGTCTGTCACAGCACAGGTAGTTTGTAGATGAACAAGGTAAATCTGGCCATAACAAATCCAATTCAACTGACCTGGCTCAATCTAGAAAAAGGGTAACAAAGACCTCAGCCAACCCTGTTCAAGCTTAGATGCAGATACACCACTGGCCAGAGAGCTGGGAGGAGAGAGGTCCCATCCAATCAGCTAAGCTGGAAGATTACAACACTTTATAAAATGGGCAGCCATATTAAGCTCAATGTTCTTTGCTGATGACTCTCCATGTTGTGTCTTGTGTCTGTCTCCAACCCACAACTCCACACAACAGTAGTCAAATGATTAAGCTCCTTTCCCGGGTTAATGACAGTGAAAATCAGATCTTGGATTCTGTGAGGTTTGTCAAAAACATGTGTTAAAAAAGTGCTGACAAGACCCAAACCTTGAACTTCAGCAAATATTTTATTAAAAAGAACCTGCTGTGGCTGGAAGGGAAAAAAAGAAAAATGTTTTCTGAGATGGGATCATCTCACAGAACTAGAGAGGACTCAAGAGATGCTGTAGGGACAGGACACTGAATAAGAATTATTAAAAACACCACCTAATTCAAACAGCCATGGCTCAGATGTGTGAGAAGAGCCTTCTGCATGCCTATGTGTGGGAGTCATTTTCCCTCTTCCCTCATTTCTGCCTATTTAAAAAATGACTGTTATTTCACAGTGTTTTGGCTGAAACAAGAGATATGACCCAAAACCTCAATGCTGCTCATTAAACTGGTGTCTTTGTTTGAAGGACAGGAGTTTGCCAGGGAAGGCAGGAGCCTACCTTGGAATGGAGAATGTAAACCCCCTCCCCCCGAATTATTATGATTTTGAAATTAAGGGGCTCTCAGGCAAAGATATGAGAATGCGGATAAGAGTTCTTTACTGGAATGTATAACAAGGCAAACAAAACAATAACTATGACATTAACAACAGAACCACGGACCCAGTAAAAGCCTTTTTGGCTGCTGGCACTTTCCCCTTTGGTGCAGTTACCGTCACAGCTGGTAGGAATGAGCAAAAAAATCCCGGGGTGGTGGACTAGATGTATTAGAAGTTCCACAGTGGTAGCTGAAACGCAGGGACTGTGCCGGCTACAGCACGGAGAAATCCAGAGCCGTAGCGAAAACACAGCGGGGATGGGGCAGGGACGGCCCGGCTCCGAGCTTTGCAGGGAGAGGCAAAGTTCAGGATTCTCAGGGCACACGACCAGCTGGGGATCGATCTCTCAGAGATGAACTCTGGCGGTGCCGGTGAATTCTCCCTGCAGTAAGCGACAGCCTGGCTGTCCTCCTCCGATGCCGAAGAGCAAGAGCACCCAGCTGCGTGCAACCCTGTCTTTTTACCTGTCCCCCCATTCTCGAGGTATCTCTGTCCCTCGGAGAGAAACTCCCCGAGAAAAAAAAGGTATGGCCAGATGCTCCATTCTTCTCCCGACTTCAGACACAGTCTTTTGTCTTTCTTAAGTACCCATAAGTATCCATAAGTATCCAGTAGTAAATTCCTAACATCGTATGGGAAAAAAAAATCTGTAAGTAAAGAAACCCAATCCCCAACAACTGGTTTAATGACCAAAAGATGTTCGTCGAAGGGGGGAAACTGTTTCAGCCTGCCTGTGCTGTGAACAAAGGTAGATCCCCCTCTTGGATGTGCTTCCAGCCTACGTGTCCATCCCCAGGGAGCCTTCAGGTGACTATTGTGACTATGTCACAGCAACCACCAAGGACAGCAACCACCCAGGACAGCAAATCCCTGGGTTTGAGGTGGGACGGGATGTATTTCTGGACCAGGTGCAGCGGGCAAGACAAGGGTCCTAAGACAACACAGCAGCCATGCAAAAACCTGGATGGAAAACATGATCTCTGAAGAAAAACATGCATAGCAGGGGTCATGTCCCTGCATAGGGGAGTAGAAATCAGCTTAAATTAGTAAATACCCAATTAGGCACAAGTCAGCTCTGAATTCACAGAAAATGTGAAAAAATAGGGAGACTTCAGCTATGAGGGCTCATAAGAGGGCCCATAAGTGGAAGATGCTGGTGGCATTTCAGCCTTGGGAAGAGACTTGTGGAGGGGCCAAGCTTGATTCCCAAGGATTTAACCAGAAGTTAAGAAATTTGTAAGACCACATCCCCAGCTTTGAGA